GTGGTGACGAAGAATATACAGAGTTTCAGAATACATAATATACTTTCAAAACCATGAGACCTGTTTACCCCCTGCAATTAACCCAGAAATAAATTCAGATTAACTTAGGTGTTTTCAAATGTTCTCTAGAGCAGGGGCCAACTCTGGAGTCACATGTGGCTCTTTCATCCCTCTGCTGCAGCTCCCTGTCACTCAAAATATGCGTCACAACAACCGCCAATGTGCGACACCCATCAGCATGCAATTTATTGAGCTTTTTGACCCCTGGTAGGCCAAAACTTCTGAAAAGTTTCAGAAGAAAAAAGAACATTTATTTCAATTACATCTGCTAGTTTTGTGGCCACTCAGGAAATGTCAGGCACCGGAAGGATTTTGTGTTTTCTTTTCTGTGGGAAACGGGTCCAAATGGATCTTCGAGTGTTTAAGGTTGCCGATTCCTGAACTAGAGACCTGTTTTTCCCAGAAGTTGGCTGTGTACAAGTTGCAGACCTATTTGGCTGCCATGTTGAAAATGGGCTGGTTTTACTCATTTTAAGACCCGTTAAAATGCCGCCCTTCGTGTTGCAGGGAACTCTTGTATCGCCGATTCTGAGTTGGCGGGTGTGTTTATTTCAAGAGGATGTTTATCGGAAAGAGAGTCAGTTTTGTTGTTCTCCATCGGCAGCACACTTTGTGGACGTACAGGTGTGATGGAGATGTTTTGTAAAGGAAGGGCACAGGTGATGCCTTTGCCTCTGGGTGCATTTGATTGTTCAGCCTCCCTTGAGTTCTGCAATTGGGGTCTGAAAAAATCTCAGAAGAGAGTAGAATTCGCTAGCAACCTTCCTCTGCACATTCGCGCCCTGGCAAAGGTTGCGTGGAGAACGGTTTTGCGAACAAAGGAGCGTCTTAATAACTTTTAACATTCGGGTAGACGGTTCCGAGTATACGAACCAAAATACTCCCATTTGCCATGCAGAGCCTGAAGAACAAGACTGGCAGACTGGCAGAGAACAGGGACATGCGTTCCAAAGAGCCAAACATTGTCGCCAAGATCAAAAATGTAACTGGAATCTCCACCACCTATTAATCACTTCTCAAAGGACGCAATCGAGGTTTGTACTGGCTTAATTCTTGCATGGGTTTGGCAGAATAGATGGTTCTAGGCTGGTTAAAAGAAAGACAGATGAACAGGCATTCTCAAAGCAGATCTATTTAGCACTTGGACTGGTTAAAAACTAAAAAATATATTTGCATGTCTCAGAACGGTCAGACAACAGTGGAAAAATGGCAAAAAGCATTTCAGGGATCTACCCGATAGTATTGATAAAATTGAGCTTATCCAGAAAAAGTGGCTATTTGCAGATTAGTTAAAATAGGTTTTTTTGATATGAATAATAAGCACTTTTAATCTGTGGCAATCTTGTTTGTTAAAAAGGTCAACCTTTGATGTGTGCAATTTACTTGATCCTTTGATCTAGTGTGCAATATACAGGTGGTTTTCCCCCCACCATATGCTCTTGCTAGAAGTACTAAATGGTGCAGATTTTTTTTAAAAAAGTCTTAATATTAACAATCCTAATTGTCCCTTGTTAATAGTGAAATAATTTGAAGTGGATGAAATTTCTAAGTAAACAGAATTCTGTCTAGAGATGTGTTTCTTCTTTTATTCTACAGCTTAGAGTCTGTCAGATCAATTCCTGATTGGCATTTTTTTCCCCTTGATTTTTTTTAAAGGCCTGTCTCTTCCTGAAGAACAATTCAAATGAATCTTGTTTTTAATTTCCATAAACAGCTTTTTGCTGAAGGTTTAGTTTGATAATTTTAAGCCCTCATGCAATTCAGTTAAAGATCATATTAGTTACGCTTGTTATAACACAGTAAAAACAATGGAGTTTTAAACAAGTAGATACTATAATATTTCAATGAACAAAGATGCAAATTTACCTTGGATTAAATCCCACTGTAATGAGGTCACCTGAATAACCTTTTCCAAAAACCAATGAGGCTACCACAACAAACTCGGTGAGGTGCTTGGTGTTCTCTGAGCTTGGTTGAATCTTGCGGACGTTTCATTCCCAAAGTAGGTAACGTCATCAGTGCTAGACTAAAGTACTAGCACTAATGATGTGACCTAACTTGGCGAT